CAACACATTTTCAGGATTTCAGGAGGATAAGCAGCTGAATGAAATGTTAGAGTCTTTCCAAATAAATAAATGTCATTATCAAAACATTTTTGGGGGGCCAATTGTGCATATTTCGAAACACATTTTAATGCACCTTCCAGAGTCATTTCACAATCTCAATATTTGCTGTCGGATGAGGTGGACTGAGAAGCGGCTCACCGTTGTTGCAGTACTGTAGCAGCAGGTTGGTGCTGTCATACAGGCTCCCACACGAAGATATCCTCTCCGACATCCTCCCCTCTTTTCTTATTCCTTCTTTCCTTCCAGCTCTTTCTCCGCTCCGCTTGGTCCTTTGTCCTCCTTTCACCCCTCTCCGTCTTTTCTTCACGCCGTCACCCCTTCCTGTCTCCCCACCATTCATAAACAGTCAAACACAAACACCTTTACCTGCCCCAGCCCCCCCTCTCCACTCTCTCCCGCTCTTGCTTCACTGCCAGCATCAAGCTCCACACCACGTGCCAAACTACACTTCCTGTTTTTACTTTCAAAATAAAGTCACGTCGAAGGGCACCATGAAGCATAGCTCTACCGGTCAGTTCAGTTCAATGTGCTTTATTGTTTCAGTTAAACAATGTTGCCAAAGCCGTTTGCAGCAAAACCAAAAAGTTTACATCTCAATATGACATAAGACGAATTAATGCTATCAAGGCCATTCAATTTAGCAGTTATAATTTCCAAAAACAAAAATAACAACTACAGATACACCTAAACTACAAACAGGAATTGTACTTGACAGCGAGGTTTGCCTTGTGTCCTTCTCATAGAGTTATTCTTAATTTATTTTTATTTCAAGTTATTTGAAATCAGGTATGTTATTAATAGAAGGAATTTTTCAAAATATTACTATTATATGCTTCTCTTTTTATCACATTTCTAGAGAAAATGTGTCTATGTCTCACATGCCATAAAATGCTCACATACAGGCTACTCTGTATTCTGTAACCAGGACTTTTTATATCTCCCCTTTTCAATTGTGTGGGTCAGTGAGTCTGTACTTGGTAAGAAGTTGCCTCTGCTTGATATCTCTGCAGTAGAAAGATATTCAGACATTTGATAATCTCTGTTTAGGACCAGATAACAATCTAGTTTGTGTTGTTTGTTTTTTTGCCTCTTCCTCCCAATGTTCCAAATAAGCATTTTTTTGCTTTAAGTGACAAAATTAAAGTGATAATTAATTTCCACTTTCAAAATTAAGTCCTGTCGACGGGCACCATGACATATATGCCACGCCGCTACAGATAGAGCTGCATTATTTACTGAAACAACGATAGTAATTATTTCATGTATTTAATAGTAATTGCCAATCATGTGTTTTTATTTTGAAAAAGGACCCATCCGTTTCCGGTAATAATCTATTTGTGACTCGCTGATTTGACGAAATATTCTCGCGTGTATCTCTCTTCCGCTGTTACTATAGAAACAGCCTCTCCACCAGCTCCGGCTCACGGTCATTGGAGGCGTGAGAGGAGCAGAGAGGAACAATAACTGTACAAAACACATGTTTTCTGTGAATAAATCCGGAACTGCTGGAGTCAGTTGACTGAAGCTCAAGTTTCTGAAAAGAGAAAAGTGATCCCGGTGTCGGTGTTGTGTGTTCCTAAATAATTCATTGGGAGAGTGGTACACATGGCGAACGTGTTCGTAATTGATACCAAAGACTATTATTCAAAGAGGTCTGACCCAACAGGCTTCAGTCAAATCAAGACAGTAACGTATTCATTTGAGACCCTGAATGGTTTATAGTCAAACAAATGGCATGTGATAAAAGTAAAAGTCAGTCCTATGACGTAAATGATTTCATGACTCTTTCAGTTGACTGGGTGTAAATCTTAAAATACTTTTTTTTTAAATGTCATATTTAGGCTACACTATAATGTGTCATTCATTTCGATTGTACTTTTTTGCCACAAGATTTATTTTGAAACTTTTAACAGGAAGTACAACTATTGTGTTATTATAATTAACTTTGACATGATGTAGTTCCTCATTGTGACCACTGCAGAGCAGATAATCATCCACCCATCCATCGTCAACCGCTCATCCTGCGTACAGGGTCGCGGGAGGGCAGATAGCATTCAATTCATTTCAATTCAGCTTTATTTGCATGAATGTAAAACAACAATATTTTTAAAGCAACAAATAAATTACAAAAGAACAACAACAACAATAATAATAATAATATAAAAATAAATAAATAAAACAGTAAGCATGTGTGTTATCCTGTACGCAGGATAAGCGGTTGGCAATGGATGGATGGATGGATGGATGGCATGTGTGTTGTCATTCAATTCATATGGTTCATTAAATAAATAAAATAAATAACAGTAAAAGTGTGTGTGTGTTAAAAAAATAAAACAAAAAAAAACAGTAAACATTCAGTTCAGTTCAGTACAGTGTGCTTTATTGGCATGACTGTTTCATGTTGCCAAAGCAGTTTGCAACAAAAATCTAAAAAGTTTACATTTGAATTGGAGGACATAACAAGATTAACAATCAAGACCATTACATTTAGCAGTTATAAATTAGAAAAAACAAAAATAACAAATACATTTAAAATACATTAATTCTATTTGGAAACCTGGTGAAAACATGTTGACAGTCTCATTTCCAGACCGGTACCCTGAATTTGCATTGTAGTGGGAAGCCAAGCTTTCTGGAGCTTGCTGCTAACATTAAGCTATATATTCATTCAGTATCTGAGTTTACAAACAAAAAAGCTGTTAAATCATAAGCTCTGTAAGCTTTACAAGATTTTTTTTCTTTTGCCTTTTTTTAGATTATATTTTCTTTTTGAAAACCCCTCGACCTCGCTAGCTTATTTGTGATTTATCTGTAGACTCAATTGATGTACACAAGGTGTTTACCTGCTGTATATCCTGATTTTGAATAAAGATTTAGTATAAAAAACAAGACGACAAAGAAAAGATCTCCAAACTGGAAAACCGATATTGAAACTCTTTATTGATATTGTGTTTTTATTTTTGTAATGTTAAAATTTCTAAGGATTGCACTGATAACAGCACTGTTATCGTCAGTTCCAACTATGTTGTAAAAACAGATACAACACCACACTAATAACGAATAAAACAAACATTTCCAATACAAAATTTCAATGTAAACCAAAAAAAAAAAAAAATTCTCTTTCTGTTTATCATTTTGTAACATTAGCATATTACATGTTGGGGTTTAAAATAATAACTTAATGTGATAAGATACGTTGAAGAATTGTTAAAAACCTGTTATTTATTAGACTTCGTGGTGGTGAGGGTCCAAAGCTTGGAGTGATTGTTTAAACACATCAGCTAAAGCACAGGTATGTGTAAGATGGTTTTAAACAAGATTTTAGCCTTTTTTTAATATGAATGTAACAGGAACATTTGAAAATATAGATCCCAGTCACCTGCATGCCTTCAACGGCGGGAGGGAATGTGTTTCTAAGTCAAGCAAGGTATGATAATTGTTACATTTGCTTATGTTTCGTGAAATGTTTCTTTTAAAGTGTTTTTGTATCTTACTGTGTTTTTGTTTGTCTTGTTTCAAATAGAAGTTATTAGGAGAGCCAACCACTGTTTTTTCCCACTGGTTAGTTTTATTTTGCTCACACTAGATCCTTGAATGGGCCATATTTTGCGTTTCTGGCTGTGTTAAAGGGGGAAACTGAAAGACAGAGTAACCATTTTGCATGGGTGTTTTGTGTAATTAGTGTGCAGCATGCAGAGAGTGTTTTTCCATAGTATTTGGTTTAATTGGTTTGAGCGTGTGGGTTATTTCCTTATTTGTCTATCAGTTTGGTTATAATTTGTCGGTGCTCGATTCTACATCAGTTTCCCTGGTAATGCAGTCTAGTCCTGAATTGTGTTTCTTCTTTTGTTTTGATGTAACAAATAAAATTTACATTCCTATACTGTAGCCTCTGGTCCAGTTTGTTCTGGCACTTGTGTATGAAGTAGCGTTTGGTTTACATTAATAAAATAATATTGGAGGAAAAATCATAAAGTAGAGACAGGCGTTTATGTTTGGAAATGGTGACAAAGGTTTTAGCCGGTAAACAGACCAGGGACGTGCACAGGGGGGTTGCTCTGGTTGCCCGGGCAACTGCCCGTTTGCCTTTCCTGACTCAAGTTGCCCTTCCGACTCGCCCTTCCGAGAAAATAAAATAAAAAAATAATCGCGATCGCAAAGCCTCATTCACTTCCATTCGGGCACCGAAAGTGAAAGTCAGTAGGGGAAGGGCAAACTCTGTTTAAGTGGCTGCACTGCTGCAGCGCTGCCTGCACGTCAGTCGATTCTGTTCCCTACCGGAATTCCTGTTTCCTTCCTTTATGCAATCATACTACAACAAATCATGCGTAGTTTTGCCCAGTTACCATACGTGATACGTACCAACAGAAGTGAATACGAGCTAGAAGCGCAACTGAATGTACGGGAAGCCAAAAGGTTAAAAAAGGATTGTATTTTTTCCGAAATCGAAGCGTTTTTTTATTTAATATTTTATTAGAAGCGAGTTTTCCCCATCTGTCAATTCAATCTAGATTATTTATTTTCAAATAAAAAAAAAAAAGGAAAAAAATAATAATAATAATGATTAAAAAAACAATAAACAATAATATAAGGAACTCTTTTTTCATGACTCGAGTCATGTTTTTCTGTTTTGTTATTAATAGTAGTTTAGGTTATTGAGTGCTGTATTTAAGTGTTTTTACTTTTTGTATATTTTTTAATAAAAAAATGTTTTTTTCTCAGTCCTTCATGTAGCCCATGTTTTTTTTTTTGTTTGTTTTTTTGGGGGGGGGGGGGGGTGCCTTTTTTCAGGTCAGAGCAACTGCCCTTCAAAATTCCTGTGCACGTCCCTGAAACAGACGTTATTTAACGGTTATTTAACGGCTCTGGAGCGAAGATGATAACAACCTCAAAGAAATAGATCTGTACTGCGCTTGCGCAGTCTACGTAGATTTATTATTGTCACGTGACAGCTGACTCAAACGCCACTAACTGTTGCCTCGTATTCACTAGTACCTGCTAGAAAATGATGAAATATCGAGAAATACACTTTGCTGACGTGTGACTGAGATGGATATAAGCAACATTTCAATCAGTCTACTCGACGTACTAACACTCAACTAACACTAACGTTAGCATTAGCATTAGCCGAGGCACCACAGCAGCAGGAAGTGGTCTGAAGCTTCCCGACAACCGACTGAACTGATAGTAAGTTTTGTTTAAGTCACCGATGCTCTGGATACATTTAACTGGGGGGATAGTTGTTATTATCAAAATTTGGTGAAACGCCAAAAACATAAACTTTGTTGTTATGCTGTTGACTGTCGATAGCTACTTTTGCTCAGTGAAAACTCTTGTTCTACTAGAATCTAGATAGGCCTTCCTAATGTTTCTTATCTACAGAAAAGGCCTGTAGCTGCTCCTTTAAATTAAATCACCAGGAGCAAACATCCAAATATATACAGGGTGAGCTCACACACATTTTCTTTTAATCTTACGTTAAACCATTAGGCAGAACCTTTTATATACAGTCTATGGGCAGAACACAAAACATCTGAGAGTTCATGTGGGCTGTTGCTAATTCTTTATTACTATTGTTTGTTTACTACTATTTATGGGCACGCATGTTCTCTAAGTCAGTGGTTCTCATAGTGGGGTCCGGAGATCCCCTGTGGTCCTTGAATGGGTTTCAGCAAAAACGTGAATCATTTATTTTCACTATATATCCATCCATAAGTAACACAATGGCAGGATATATGACTATTTTGGTCATGGGTTTCATTCACTTTCTGTAATAAAACATCTAAAAGGTAAAATCCTATCAGATGAATGTCTGTGGTCTAATTTGTGTTAGTTTAGGGGTCTTTTATGTGAAAAGGTTTGAGAACCACGGCTCTATTGAATCTGACTCATGCAGCCACACTTTATTCATGTAACATTGGCTTTTTTTTATACAATAGACATTAAAGATGCTTTGCAGGAGGAAGAAAACAGAAGAGTGAATTAAACTGAGGGGACAATATATAAAAATAAAAAGAGTAAACCACATAGTATAGTAAAAACTCTACAGATAACAAGTAGGTTTTAAGATGATTTTAAAGATTGGCCCTGATTTGTCTGAGTTTGTAGAGTGGAGGAGCAAAAACGGCAAAAGCACAACCACCTTTAGTTTTCAGCCTTGATCTTGGAGCACCCAGAAATCTCTTTTTTGAAAAAAGTGAGGCCGGTGATCAGAGGACATATTAACTTCTTCCAAGTGTAAATTTCCTGGTAAAGCAGAAAATACTGAAAATAATCTCACAGTTGTCTCTTTCCAGGCTATTTTCAGTATGCGGAACCGACAGAGGGGATCACACCTGGGCCTGCTGCTCCTGGGTTCCCAGCTGTTCCAGCTCGGTCTGGACAACATCCCCCCAGTCACCCTGGCTGTCCTGGGACTCAATGTGTACCTTTACCTGTTTCCAGCAGCCCCACTGTTGCAGGTAATGCACTACTACAACACTTATAATAGAAACAGAGTTTATTATTTAGACAATTCTACAAACATATAGAAAATGGTCACAATGTATTTGTTTATTTTTGTTGCATTTTAACAAATTAGAGAAATGAAAGTGAGAAAGAGAAAAAGTCCTACAGACTACCCTCCAAACTCTTAAGTGTAGCGATTACCCATCTATTGTTTAGATTCTCAACGTAAAAAAACAATTTTGATAATCACATGATGGTTAAAGTCATTTAATAATCAAAAATTTTGATTTGTTGCTTCAACCTTAGCTAATGTGACAATGTGCTACTTTTCTTTACTTTAATTTATCATAGTAAATTGTAGCTGATGCTAGAAAATAAAATCATACGTGTTTTACTCACTGCTCCAGTCAGCACTTGGACCATCTTGGAGTTACACATGCACCCTTTCCTTGTACTATATTAAGTTGATATTATTAGTACTAATGTGAAAAGTACTTTGTATACAATCCTTAGGCCTGTGTGAGTGTCCAGCAGGCATACTGGTTTAAAGACTGGCGCCGCCTTCTGCTGTCCCCGCTACACCATGTGGATGACTGGCATCTCTACTTCAACATGGTGTCCTTCCTTTGGAAAGGTATCAGGCTGGAGCGACGGCTGGGCGGAGCCTGGTTCGTCTACCTGCTTTCAGTCTTCTCTCTGCTCACCGGATTGGTCTATCTGGTGTTGGAGGCAGTGTTAACAGAGCTCACCCAGGACCAATCCTACAGCATGGCCTGTGCTGTTGGCTTCTCAGGTAAAGACAAATCTACGAAACTCCCAAAGTATTAACATATAGTATTATTGATTTCAAAAATTGCTTTTTTTTGTAACCCTAACCCATTGTTCTGTTTTCTCTAATCCTTGTTGCACCCCGTCATCTTCGATACATTCATGTGCTTATTAATATTTGTTTGGGTTTTTTGTGATCCACTTTGTGTTGCTTTTTCTTCAGGGAAGGTAGCAAAGTGATATTACATTGCAGTGTATCAACCCATATAGCATATCTCCTCACAACACACGGCCTACCGTAATTTTTTAAACTATAGTCCCACCTTGATGACATTCCCTATTCCCCTTTTTATTTATCTTAATATGACTGTGTTTCTAGGTGTCTTGTTTGCTCTGAAGGTGCTCAGTAATCATTACCACCCTGGGGATGTGACCTATGTGATGGGTTTCCCTGTGTCTAACCGCTATGCTAGCTGGGCGGAACTCGTACTGATCCACATGACATCGCCTGGGTGAGTTATCAGAAATTACTTTTGCTACGGATTTTTTAGAGATACAGAGTACAACAGGCTTTGAGGTAACTGCTGTGGGTTAAAATCAAGGGCCTTCTCAGCTATCATAATTGCAACTCTTACCTGACACAACAGGGGCACCAACACAACGTTTCCGTTTAAATAAACATTTTGCTACGTTTTGTTGGGGCTGAGGTTTTGCTAGCCAGACATACTGTAAAGATACCAGTGTGAACACTCTTGATGCACGTAGCATCAATGGGATTTTTTCAATGGGATAACCCATGGTTAAAGGACCAGTTCACACCATTTTAAGTTGATCTTTAGATATTTGTTGTAGTATGACAAGCCTGTTGTATACACCACTACAGTCGTCACTCTCCACAACTTGTGCAAAAACTGTTCATCTCCCCAAACATTTAATCAAGTGAAGCAGAAATGGGCCAGCAAAGCTGATTTCAACCTTTTGAATAAAGACCAGCTTAAGCCCTGATAGCATTAGATTTTATAGATCAGAGGTTGGGTCTGCAGCTGAATTTGAAAAACATCAAGAAGATGTTTTTCACCTTCTTTAGGAAACAGCACATGAAAAAGGACTACAGTAATCCACGAGCCGCCAATCAAAGTACTGAAGTACTTAGTACATTGAACAGAATCTGTTCAGTGACTGAAAAGATGGAGAGCGTTTCTACATTTTCATTTATTCAGTATTTGATTGCCAGTCTGTAACTATCCAGAATGTGAGGAATCTACATAATGTTTTCAGTACATGTTTCAAGACAATGGCTGTCCCTTCAACGTCTCTGCTCACCTCCATATAATCAACACAAACTTCAGAAGGGCAGTAAAAATCTGCCGTGACCCTTCACACAATGGTTTCCCTCTGGCCCACATCTGATATTGCGATAGGTGCAGAACAAACAAGTGCAGACGGCATTTGTTTTTCGATTTCTGGGCCCGTCTCTGAACTTCTGGAACTTTGGATATACTTGCCCATATCCCTCCACTGACTGATGAGCCTGGCACTTAGCACACGGTTAGACACAGTGCATAAAGTTGTCCTGTTAAACATGCTACCTGATTTTTTATGAATTAAAGCATCCACCAGATGGCAGAGTTTCATTAGTTTGGAGTTAATCTGTGGTCTGCTTCTTCAGGACCTCTTTTGTTGGCCACCTGGCAGGTATCCTGGTGGGTCTGCTCTACACTGTTGGACCACTGAAGTCCATCATGAAGAAGTGTGCAGGTCTGACTTTATTTGTGTGTATTTTGAGGTATTTGTTTATGGTTGTATATGTGTTGACTGAGGTGTGAGTGGTGGTTTGTCTATGTGGGGCACTGCGATGGACTGGTGACCTGTCCAGGGTGTACCCCGCCTTTCGCCCGATGTCACCCCCCCTGTACGCAGGATAAGTGGTTGACGATGGATGGATGGATATGTTGACTGTGTTTCTGTGACTTTAGGCTTTTGTAACCTGTTAAAAGGCCACTTTATGATTTCAAAAAGTTGGAAGATACAGGTTTCCCTGGTAAAAAATCATTTCCATATCTATATATAAATCTAAATGTACATTACATAGTATTTTTGTACTATTAATAGTCTGTTTGTATGTATTTTCACCAGGGTTTGTGACATCAAACGGATATAACTCCCAGCCCAGTACCTACTATGGCTCTTCAGGTACTAGAGTATTTAATTAAAGTCAATGTGTTTCCAGAATTTAATAAGTTGTTTAAATGCAACACAGGACTGACGTATGGTACATGTGTTTGATCACTGTGTGTTAATAAAATGATGATGGCAGAGGAATTTATTGTCTGTGATCATTGTATGATTGTTCTTATTGTCAACAAATCCCATGAAAAGACCAAAATCATCTAACATCTAACTGATCCTGCATTGTTTGATTTGTGTATCCAAACAGTGATAGATCTTCTTCCTCTGTGGAAACCCATTGTTTTCCAAAACGCACTCCTTCATTACTGTGAACACACACACATTGTAGTGTGTGAGATACACCCAAAAACTAGCCTACGCAGTTAATTTAAAACGTGTGAATTCTTTTATAAAAAAACAAACAAACAAAAAAAAACAATGGACAAGGAAATCTGGACCTATTGAAAGCCTATGACATTGTTTGTTTTAGGTCTTTTCACAGGATTAGTTGCCAATAAAGGGGATATAGAATATACTATCTTTAACTTTGTAACATTTTTTTCTTTAAATTTAAATACTTATAAATATCATGTGCGTGTCTTCAGGCTACAGTGGCACTCGTGGAGGATACACAGGATACTCTCAGTATGCACCATATTCCACAGCAAATCCTACAGCATCTCATGCAGGTGGGCTGACGGAGGAAGAGCAAATACAGGCAACCATCAGAAACAGCCTGAATGACAGAGGTAAGGGAGGAGAGGCATAGTATTGATGAATGGGCAGTAGTCAGAGTGACCCTGAATTTGAAATGTTTTGAAAACCACTCTAGATATAGAGGTATCTAGATAAGATACTAAATAGGTACTAAAATCGAAAGTGTATTTAATTTTTTAAGGACAAACCAACCAGAGAGAAGCTCCTCCTCCTTATGGTTTCCACCTCTCTGAGGAGGCGACCGCTGAGGAAATCAGGCAGAGGAGACTGATGAGGTTCGACAGTTGAACTGCCGGACAGCGGAAGGGAAGAAGAAGGTTTAGGTTACAACACAACAGAGGAATTTCTTCCGGAAGCTTGGTCCAAACTCTGCTGCAACAGGCTGAGGAAGAACATCCTGAATGAGGTCCACCCACACAGTCTGACACATTTAAAAGCTCTGTTACTGTGTGGTGCTTTGTGCCAACGTGCCTCAAGTGTTACCAAACAGTGAATGTAAGCTATGCAAAGCTACTTTAATGCTACTTAGACATTGAAGTATTCGGATTTGCAGCTGCAAATTGAGGATTTGAGAGGAAAGCGAACAAGGATTTATAATATTTTTTAGACGATGTTTTTGTTGTTATGCTACTTAAAGTTGTGAAATGGGTGACAAACAACAAATAAAATGCCTTTTAAGATGTTTAAAACCAAAGTTTAAATTTGAGAAACATGAATTACATTTGTGAAAACAGACGAAAGGACGAGTTTGCATGTTCTCCCCGTGTCTGCTTGGGTTCTCTCCGGGTGCTCTAGCTTCCTCCTACTGTCCAAAGACGTGCAAGCTAGGTGATGGACTGGCGACCTGTCCAGGGTGTACCCCGCCTCTGCCCTGTGCCAGCTGGGATTGGCTTCCGCGAAGTTGTACATGGGATAAGCGGTTGACGATGGATGGATGGACAAAAGTGCATCCAACCACGTTAGACTAGATGTAGATATTATAAAAATCTGTAAAATCAGCATTTTATTGTTCTTATAAACAGAATAAATGTGTTTAGAAACTAACCTAAAAGTGTGTTGGGAGTTGTTACTGCTATTACTAAACTTCAGAGGACAATATAGCAGAAATTAAGCTGGAATTTAAATTTTGAATAGGGATTTTCAGTTAAATTCTCTTTTTTCTGAGATGTCAAATGTGAACTGGCCAGTCAAAGTTTATCCAGCCAATAGACATCAGCAATACCAGACTGATGCTTTTGACCTTGAGGAAAGCTGTGGCTCTCTCCATGCTGTGCATGATGTCCTGACTGTCCTTTTTTATTACTAAAACACGATACTGTATGGAGCCAAATAGTCATAACCATAAGCCTACTAGCATAGCTGGTTTCATAAAGGCTCAGTTGGCTCATGTAATGGTTCATCTGTAATTAAATGTTCTTTTGAGCACAAAAAGTACTGCTCATGTGATTGTTTTTTAGTTGGTACAATCCATGCTCACCAGTGGTAAACAAATTCTCCAGCAAACACATGGCTGAAATTCATTATGTAATGTTAATGACATTGACCACCAAACATGTAATGAGTAGTATTACTTTTCCCATGGAGTAATACTTATCATCATACATACATCATCTTTAGAGAAAGCATTAACAAGAACCTTAGCACCATACTACTCTGAACTTTCTAAAAAGTCACCACATGAGAGAGAAACTGGCTGTAAGCAAAGTTACAAAAGCAACGCTGAAGAAGTACATCACTGCCTCTGATTCCTCTAAAGCCCTGAGGCATTATGGGAAGTAGGGCAGCTTAAATGAAAACCCTACAAACCCAATGAGCCATCACCTCACATGGGTCTCAAACAATGCTATAATAGATATGATGTAACTTCCCAGTTCCTAGGAAGGAGTGACGAGGTTGTGCGTTAATTATCCAGACTCAGTGTGTTTTGACAGTTTGCATAGTTCGATTTTGCATACTGCCATGGGGCACGTGGGAGCTCATTGAAAAATGACTCGGGGACTACATGCACACCACAGCAGTGACAGTAAAGCTATATCTCAGTTCATCATCTCACCTCACACTACGTCTGTAAACAAGCATTAGAGACAAAACTGTGAGAAACGCTCGTCTCCTGGTTCACGCATAGAGGTAATATTATGTACTGTATATACGTGGGAATTTTGTGTTATGGATGAAGACTGGAATTGGTGTGGGTGTGTGCATGTGTGTGTATTTTGTAAATATATATATATATACATATTTATAAATAATCAAGAGGTGATGTGGTGTTTCATCTGACTATAAATATACGTTTGAGTAAATTTACTTTACATTAAGAAGACCATCTGTATGGAAACTGTCCACATATCATGAAACAAGTGGGAAAAAGACAGAAGTCTACCAATTTTCTTTCATTTTGTCTTTTTATTTTAGATACTTTTTTACTCTCACTCAAGTTGTTTTATTGATGATGACTTATTTCTACTTAAGTATATGTAACAGTACTTTTACTGGAGCACAGTTTTTGGCTAAGATACCCACCTCTGCCTGAAAGGAAAAAAAAACTTTAGGCTACAGCATGTAAAAAGTAAAAATGCAATGTATACATGATTTTTATAGTTAATGAGCTAAAGCTTGCAAACACACTGGTGCAGTTCTGTATCTATAGCCTTTTGTGAACTCTTGAACAATTACTGGTAATAATTACCAGTTGTTACAGAAATATGCCACCATGGCAGAAAAATAAATGCCTGTAAGCCTGGAATAAATCCTTTTCCTGTGTAAAAGAGTATAAAAGGTCGTTTTATAGACAACTATAAAGACGGCCACAATTTGTCAGGGAAGAGTTGTTAAGGACACAGTATTTGATAAGAATGTTACCCTTTCAACATGGTGACCTTGAAACCACTGGTAATGTTATTGAGAGCTATGACTGTATGTTGCTCTAGGGGGATTCGCTGGAACACCTCATCCACACAGACACTCCGATTAGAGAGCGAGGCCGGACACAGTAGGACTGTTAACTCTGCTTTACTGATGAAGCACAACTCCAAATGAAATACAGCTCTGTGTTCCTGGTTTGCTGTTTACAGTTTGATTCATTAGAATTTATCTCTATTATCTGTTCTGTCTGAGACTTCACATTGGACTGATTGACTCTCTTTCTGTACTGGTATCTGCAATAAACAAAACATAATATACATGAGAATACTAGTTTAAAGAGCACGTTAGCTGGAACTTAGCTTTAGCTTATTACCAAATCAGCCAGCACGTTAAACATCACATAAACACTGCTACGTTAGTAACGTTATGTTACATTAGCGGCGAAAATCACCGTTTCATTTGCATATCAACGGAACTAATTAGCAATCATTAGCAGATCGTTGCCACCCACCTTCATCACAAACGCAGACAGGTATTGACGTAAAATAAACAAGAATGCCGTGAACGGCTGAATATTATAAGGACCCCCTTAGCTGCCTAACGAGGTGCCTGATGCAAAACACTAAATTCAGCACTGAACAAATCCTGCACCACAAACAGTAATAATAGGGAATTTACAACAGCCGCCCCCAGAATAGCCTAGCTATTATGTAAAGACTACTAAATTCCCGAAGGTGCTGCTGGAGTCCCTGAACTGGTTCCGTCGTCATCTGAAATGGCCGGCAGCTGGACCAGACGCGCTACTGGCCGCAGGTAGGTCTTCTCCCCGACTCGGACCTCGGCCGACCGGACACGGCCATCTGCACTCTCAATCACCTTGACGATCTTCCCGATGGGCCACTGCGCTCTCGGAAGCTGGGGATCGATAATCATGACAACCGTGCTCTGAGTGATGTCATCAGTGGGCCGCCGCCACTTCTGACGGACTTGTAGGGAAGGAAGGTAATGTCTAAGAAACTGAGCCCAGAAGTGGTCCACCATCATCTGACAGTGGCGCCAACGTCGTCTCGTGAGGGTGTCAGGAGCGTATGACACTTGTGGTAAGGAGGCGTCCCTCCGCCCCATCAGCAGCATGTTAGGCGTCACTGGATCGGGATCAGCTATGTCTGACGAGACATAGCCTAAGGGCTTTGCATTGAGGATGCCCTCAACTTCGATCAGAAGGGTGAGAAGGACATCTTCATAGAGTGATTGTGTGCCAACAACCACTTGGAGAGCCTTCTTGACGGATTGTATTTCACGCTCCCAAGCACCGCCGAAGTGAGGCGCTGCTGGTGGGTTGAACTGAAACTTAATCTGGTTCTTGATGAGTCTCTCCTTTAGATCGGGGCCCATAGCCGCAAAGGCCTCTTTAAGCTCCCTCTCGGCCCCTCGAAAATTAGTCCCTTGGTCTGAGAGTATCTCGGCGGGGGTTCCTCTTCGTGCTACGAACCTTCTCAGTGCCAAGAGGAAAGTGTCTGTGTCGAGGCCTGCCAGCAGGTCTAGGTGGACACAGCGTGTCGTGAGGCACTTGAAGATCACTCCCCATCGCTTCTCGTTCCGGCGTCCAACTTTAATGATGTATGGACCGAAACAGTCAACTCCTGTGGAGTAGAAGGGGGGCTTTAGGAGTCGCAGGCGGGCCGGAGGAAGATCTGCCATCGTGGGGACCGAAGGCTTTCCTCTCCATTTGGTGCACTCCAAGCAGGTTCTCTGATATTTCTTCACGGCTTGTCTCCCACGTAGGATCCAGTATTGCCGCCTGAGCTCGGCGAAGACTCTGTCTGGGCCCGGGTGGAGCAGGCGTGCGTCCATGTCTTTGATGAGGAGTCCCGTGACAGTGTGCCTGGGATCAAGCACAACTGGGTGGATGTCAGTAGGACCGGATTCAATGTTCCTAAGTCGACCTCCAACTCGAATAAGACCAGACTCCGGGTCTATCTCTGGTGCAAGTGAACTCAGCTTACTGCTGGGGAACACAGGCTTACTAGCCTTAGGCGCTTGACTTCTTCAGGAAAGCTCTCTGCTTGGCTGGTCTTCAGCAGGTGGACCTCCGCGTGACGGAGATTAGGAGGCCCTGATAATGGGTCTGCGGCCGCCCCGTGAAGCGACTGGTGCGTAGCCCTAACCAGGTCTGCCCAGTTGTTGAACTGTGAGGTGTCTAGAAGTGGGTCTGGAGGGCGTGTTTGCATAAGGCCGCAGAAGATTGTCTGCTTGAGCTCAGAGGTATCTGCTGGGTTGACGGAGTCTGGAACCGAAGGCCATTCTTGTGGTGGAGAGCGGAGGAACGCTGGACCCTGGATCCATCGATTTGAAGTGGTTAGCTCGGCCAAGGTCTTACCCCTCGTTAGGTCGTCAGCCGGATTGTTTACCGTATCTACGTACTGCCAGGTGTGAGAAGCAGTCAGGTCTTGGATCTCGGAGACTCTGGTCCCAACGAAGACCTTGAACCTGCAGGACTCAGATGTCAGCCAGGTCAGGACTGTAGTGGAGTCGGTCCAAAGATAAGTCTCTGTGATGTTTAGAGTGAGCTCTCGATGGATGAGGGAGGACAGCTGAGCCCCTGTTAGCGCTGCGCAGAGCTCTAGACGTGGCATTGACTGTTGGCGTTTTGGGGCTACTCTTGACCTGGCCATGACGAAAGAGACGTGCACTGCCTTGTTGACGGTGGTTGTGGTGAGATAAGCGACCGAACCATACGCCTGTTCCGAGGCGTCACAGAAGACATGGAGAGTGTACTCTGTAGCTTCAGTAGCCACTTCCGATGGAGCGTATGTTCGGGGAATGGACACACCAGCCAGTTCAGGAAGCTCACTCTCCCAGCTCGACCAGGCCTTGATGATCTCTGGAGGAAGATTAGGGTCGTCCCAGCTCCTCTTCTTGGCCCACAACCTTTGAACGAGAACTTTAGCTCTTGTTGTGTAAGGGATGATGATCCCAAGCGGGTCGTATTGCCGGGCGAGCACCTTGTAGACGTGGCGCATGGTGAGTGTTTGACTCTCCGGAGGCTTGGCTCGGAAGCCGAGTTGGTCAGTTGGACAATACCAGCGCAGGCCCAGCGCTGGCTCTTGCGGGTCAGGGCCTTTCTCTGCCAGCCATTGCTCTGCACTCTCGGAGCGGGCAGTAGGGGGTAGATGGGCGAC